TTCTCTATTGTTGCTGTATTTAGTGTTTCAGTGCAGGAAACGTTTCTCTATTGTTGCTCTATTTAGTGTTTTAGTGTAGGAAGCGTTTCTCTATTGTTGCTGTATTTAGTGTTTCGTTTCTCTATTGTTGCTGTATTTAGTGTTTCAGTGAAGGAAGCGTTTCTCTATTGTTGCTGTATTTAGTGTTCGGTGTAGGAAGCGTTTCTCTATTGTTGCTGTATTTAGTGTTTTAGTGTAGGAAGCGTTTTTCTATTGTTGCTGTATTTAGTGTTTCAGTGTAGGAAACGTTTCTCTATTGTTGCTGTATTTAGTGTTTTAGTGTAGGAAGCGTTTTTCTATTGTTGCTGTATTTAGTGTTTCAGTGCAGGAAACGTTTCTCTATTGTTGCTGTATTTAGTGTTTTAGTGTAGGAAGCGTTTTTCTATTGTTGCTGTATTTAGTGTTTCAGTGCAGGAAACGTTTCTCTATTGTTGCTGTATTTAGTGTTCCGGTGTAGGAAGCGGTTCTCTATTGTTGCTGTATTTAGTGTTTCAGTGAAGGAAGCGTTTCTCTATTGTTGCTGTATTTAGTGTTCGGTGTAGGAAGCGTTTCTCTATTGTTGCTGTATTTATTGTTTCAGTGTTGGAAGCGTTTCTCTATTGTTGCTGTGTTTAGTGGTTCATTGTAGGAAGCGTTTCTCTATTGTTGCTGTATTTAGCGTTTCAGTGAAGGAAGCGATTCTCTATTGTTGCTGTCTTTATTGTTTCAGTGTTGGAAGCGTTTATCTATTGTTGCTGTGTTTAGTGGTTCATTTTAGGAAGCGTTTCTCTATTCTTGCTGTGTTTAGTGGTTCATTGTAGGAAGCGTTTCTCTTTTGTTGCTGGATTTAGTGTTTCAGTGAAGGAAGCGTTTCTCTATTGTTGCTATATTTAGGGTTTCAGTGTAGGAAGCGTTTCTCTTTTGTTGCTGTATGTAGTGTTTTTGTGTAGGAAGCGTTTCTCTATTGTTGCTGTATTTAGTGTTTTAGTGTAGGAAGCGTTTCTCTATTGTCGCTGTATATTTAGTGTTTCAGTGTAGGAAGCGTTTCTCTATTGTTGCTGTATGTAGTGTTTTTGTGTAAGAAGCGTTTCACCGTTCTTGCTGTATCTATTGTTTTGTTGCTGTATTTAGTGTTTCGGTGTAGGAAGCGTTTCTCTATTGTTGCTGTCTTTAGCGTTTCAGTGTAGGAAGCGTTTTATCGTTTTTTCTGTATTCAGTGTTGTTACTATATATAGTATATATTATGTTTTCATTTTAGGTAATATTAGTGTATATGTTTTCTCTTTCGGGAATGTTTCAATGATAGAAGCGTTTCACTGTAGGTTATGTTTCAATGTTAGAAGTGTTTCACTGTAGGTTATGTTTCAATGTTAGAAGCGTTTCACTGTAGGTTATGTTTCAATGTTAGAAGCGTTTCACTGTAGGTTATGTTTCAATGATAGAAGCGTTTCACTGTAGGTTATGTTTCAATGATAGAAGCGTTTCACTGTTGGTTATTTTTCAATGATAGAAGCGTTTCACTGTAGGTTATGTTTCAATGATAGAAGCGTTTCACTGTAGGTTATGTTTCAATGATAGAAGCGTTTCACTGTTGGTTATTTTTCAATGATAGAAGCGTTTCACTGTAGGTTATGTTTCAATGATAGAAGCGTTTCACTGTTGGTTATTTTTCAATGATAGAAGCGTTTCACTGTAGGTTATGTTTCAATGATAGAAGCGTTTCACTGTAGGTTATATTTCAATGTTAGAAGCGTTTCACTGTAGGTTGTTTCAATGAAGGTGTTGTTATGTTTCACCGTTGTAATGGTCAATACAGTGTCAATCATACTACAGTACTCTCGACCTGTTTGAAATGATTCACATTCGTTGACAGTGAACTACATCTTCACGGTAATATGTCATTTTCCTGGTGACTGTCAGTTCCTCTGGAATTTGAATAATTGAACGTTTGATGTGAATTGCACAGCTGAGTTTTTCCGATAAGAATATTTCACATTTTACACTACAAACTGGCTTTGAACAGTGATGTGATCAAGATCCCGGTACAAAACAGTACTAACACAATGTGTTACATACCCTCATTCAACCCTGATACACAATACCGAGGGCTACACTGAATTATTTATGCATATATATAGTAATACAGCTGAACGGAGAAAATCGCTAACAAGATTACACGACTAGACATATAGAAACTACATCAATTATGCTCAGCTGTTACAGCGAGTCTGGGGATCGGGGTAGGGCAGCGATGGGCGTGGTAGGCCAGGGTTGGGAGGGGCGATGATCAGACATAGACATACAAGGTTGTATTGATATTTCAAAAAATCTATTAAATAAACATCTATGAAATTTATGACATAATTTGAGGTAACTGTAGAGCTAAGCTATTTGTGGGCGCGAGAGTTACAGCCTCGCGTGTTTGTGCTTTATTGATTTAAGAAACAGTCACAGTTCTGCAGTGGTACAGTTGTGTGACCGCACAACGCACCAAAAATAGCGTGCGCGCACCGTGCATACATCGTTCACACACCGTCCGCACATCGTCCACACATGGTGCGCACAACTGTGCGATTAAACAATCGTTCGCCCCGTTGTGTGCTTCTCTCCGCCCAACTGTGCGATTGGGTACAATTTGTAGATCAATACTACGGAATGAAAAAAAAATACGGAAAGCTCGTATGTAATAACGAAAACTGTTTATATTACTGTAATTTCTCATCACAGTCATGAAGATTATATACAGTTTTACAATGCGTGTAACACAGCATTACAGTGACCATTGAATGGGTTTGGCTCCAAGGTAACAGAATAGGTAAATAACAATTTGATGAGTGACCGGAGTTTTACCTGGCCTGTACCTGACACATAGAGCTGATATGCGATACCGTACGTTTAGTATTTGTTATTTGCATTCGGTTTGCCTATAGCTCCCCTTCACTTGGGTTTTCACACCTTTGGCCCTACCCGACGAAATACGTAAGCGCCCCGGGCGGGGGAAAACTACGGCCCAGGTACATGTACAACGTGGCTATGTTTACCTGCATACCGGACTGTGTTGTAATTTCATGTGTCGATTAAGGTCGTTTAAAAAATACCGAAAACACAATTTCTAATTTTAAGAAAATATAGACATTAAGATAAGCTTATTGATGTAGATAGAATATAGAAACATACATAAAAATCACGTTTATTTGTTTACAAACGAAACCGCATATATTGTTAAAGCATTCCTCAATTTACAACAACCACGATTGATATCGCACATCGTTCGTCCATCGTGCACACAAATGTGCGCAAGCAATGATCGTCCAACTTTTTATCGTTCGCACATCGTGCACACATCGTTCACACACCGTACACACAGCGTGCGCACACCGCACATCGTGTAACGTTATGCGATCCCACAACTGTATAACATTTCTTCCATTATCCATGGTGTAAGGTAGATTGGGTTTCGGTGTGGCGTAGTGGTGATGTCAACGGGTATACCAGACACCGCCACAGGGTTTCATCGGAACCACTCTAGTGTTTCCGTGGCGTAGTGTTATGTCAACGCATTCGGAACACCTTGCCCCGATTCCAGTTCCTTCAAACGTAGATGAACGTATCGGTCGAGAAGTTCCGAGTGTTAGATGAACGAATCGGCCGAGAAGTTCCGAGTGATGTCAACGGGTATACCTGAAACCGTCATAGGTTTACCGTATAAATGTTAATCGGACCCCCTCTAGTGCTATCTTGATGTAGTGGTAATGTCAGCGGGTATATCCGAAAACACCTGAGGATTACCGTATAAGTGTTAATCGGAACCCCTTTAAGTTACCGTGGTGTATCTGTATCTGTATCTGTAAGGTTCCGGATAAAATTCATAAATTGAATATCACATCCGGGTGGTGATGCCAACGGGTATACCCGACACTGCCAGAGGGTTACCGTGTAGTTGTTTATCGGAACCCCTCTAGTGATTTCCTGGTGTAGTGGTGATGTCAGCGGGTATAGACCGTCAGGGGGTTACCGTTTAATTGTTAATCGGAACATCTTTACAGTTACCGAAGCGACATGATGATGTCAAAGGGTATTCCCTACACCGTCCCTGGGTTACAGCTCGGAACCCCTCTTCTTTATCATGAGGTAGTGGTGATGTCAATTGATATACTCGACACTGTCAGAGGTTAAAATGGTACCCGACACCATCAGGGGGTCACCATATACTTGTTGACCGGAAACCCTCTGCAATGTCCATGGTGTAATCAATGACTATATCCAACACTAAAAGGTGGTTACTTCAACATTAACTAAGATAACGCGCAATTCAATAAAGAAACAGAAAAAGGGTATTAATGATCATAAGTAAATGTCGAATTTTCTCAGTTGTGCATTCTTTACACACCGGAGTTATATAACTATAACATCGTGACGTCATAGGCACACTTGCTACTCGTGCCACTAATTAATTGTGTCACACCGTCGGTACATCCCATTTGTTACTAATCAACTACATGTTATACCTCTATGTAGTACACAAAACTATGCCATGGCATTTTTTTCTGACAACGGAAAATATTTCATGGAGTGTTGTCATTAGATACAAGCCCAGACAATGCGAAAGACACAATATAGTTAGTAGAACAGGCAGTAAACGAATGTTATTTACGTTCATAATGTACAGTATCAATATTTATCCAGGGATACGAAAACTTGATTAACTGTTATGGCTACAGCTGCAGGCATCTGACGGCAGGATAAGTTGATTTGAATAAGGAGGACAACTGACACAGCTGTCGCTAATGTGATCAAAGCGAACTGGTGACGTGTTAGACCTAACGTTAACGCACACCATCTCTTTAAACCGTACATATTGTGACGACGAGGCTACTTAGCTAAAAGGCCTCTCTGTCCCCAGTAAACATGTTTGATGCCTGGTTACACAAAAGGAGGCATGGGGAACAGATGGTGAGATATTGATATAACATGGGACTTACCTGGTTATGAGGGCGACATCAGTGATCTCCGATAATGTTGTACAACTGATTCACTAGCGGTGTGTAAACTCCGTGGCTGTGACGGAAGTCAGCTGAGAACGTGTACTCAGTAGCTACAACACAGCCACACTGATACAGCTACACACAAAACACTGGTGCGCGTGCAGCAAAGCCGAACGTTCATTCATAAAAAAATCCTTGTCACATGCGTTACCGTACACACAAATTCTATATTCCTGCTACTGACCTGTATATGCATAAATCGTGTATACAGCCGAGTCGGTTACAGCTAAAACAAACACTGTATATGTACAATGCAATGTTACAGCATTCTTTTCTTACACAATTCCTAGTATTTTCCCGGCCCTCTATTCTCGCCACGGTTCGTGGTATGGCTGCCTGCTACTCAGCGATACCACCAATAGCCTTACCAGTTTGTGGGACCGATACCGTCCTAGAGTAAACCCGAACTAATAGTATTAGACCAACCCTGATCGGTCTTTATCCAAGACGTTTGGTCTGCTGTATATATAACGCACAATCATGTCAAAAGATCATTGATCGAAACTGTTAGGTTCTTTATGGACCAACGCGCGAGATGCTGGGAGCCATGCAGTGGCAGTATAGCTGCACGTGCTACGGAGAACCAACACCGTATAATTAGATTGTATGTTGTCCGTTGGGGTCACGTCCGCTCGAGCTAGAATTACATGTGTTAACGAGTTTTTCCCCCGGGGCCCGGGACGTAATGTCGGACAGTAATGTTTACCTGAACCCCGACTACCCTTCGCATGACCTTACATCTGTGAACAATTCCCACCCCCACCGCCCCCTTAAAGATCCAAATGCACACAACAAAAATGTTTGTTTTATTGGCACAACAACACTCATTTACTTCCGGTTTCATTGATCGTTTTTTTTTTCTTCTCGTTTTTATTTGGCCCGTGAGTGTCAAGGAATCAAGCGCCGTTGACCAATACTTGTTTAAAATAAGAAGTTATTACTGCGATCATGATGCTGAACCTTGAATATAACGAATCTCTCTTTAAAAAGGTTCCCGTTCCACTAATTTTTCCGCCATTGCTTTGATAATCCCTTTCTGAAAAGAGGACTATTTTTTGCGGGACTTTTATGAAAGAAACATAATTAATACTAGCGATGAAATAAACAAAATAAAAATCACCAATGGTGTTCTAAGTGAAAAACATAAATCGTGACTAGACTAGAATTACTGCCGCTTTAATCTAATCATGAGCTACCTGGAGAACGGATGCACGCTGACACAATTGCGCTACGGTTATATGCTTGTTAGTTTTTACGTCCTAATAACAGCTATGGTCATTTAAGGACGTGCCAGGTTTTGGTAGTACCGGAGAAAAAACATCGACTTACGGCCAGTACCTTGCGACTGCCCCACGTAGGACTCGAACCCGTGGCCCAGTGGTGGAGGGTTAGTGGTAGCACGAAGTCGGACGCCTTAACCACTTGGTCACCGCAATTCCATAATGGAAATATGTAGGGTTGTGTCCTTAGTGGGACAGGGGTCTTTAATTCTGATATTGAAAGTAACACCCTCCAAAACAACAAATAAACCATCACAGATTTATCGAAGGCCAGGAACATTACAGGTGTCACGCTCACTTACGTTCTCTGCATACAAAGCATGTGAGCGTTTGTTTTGGTTTGGTTTAGTAATGTTTAAAGTCCTATCAACAGCTATGGTCATTTCGGGACGGCCTCCCCTGTGTGCAAGATGCATGCGTGTGGTGTATGCGTGTGTGTTTTGGGCGGCTGCGATATGTTCGTGTTTGTCTTCTTGTAATAGCGCGGAACTGATGCCGTCTTTATAGTGCTACCTTACTGAAACATACTGCCGAAGACACCCAACAGGACACCCCACCCGGTCACATTATACTGACAACGGGTGAACTACTCGCCCCACTCCTAAATTGCTCAGAGTTAAGCAGGAGAAGAAACTACCATTTTCACAGACTCTGGAATGAATCGGCCAGGGGACAGAACCCTAAGCCTTCCTCAATGGGGCGAACGTTCAACTAAAGGCCAAAAGCGAGGCATTGTCAAGGGAGACATGATGAAGAAGAAGAACGTTGTTTAGAGAGAAGAGGAAAGATAAGATCCCAAATTTAGTCGTCTCTTACGATCATGCAATGGGGGCAGCGGGTACAATTCTTACGTCCTACATGCAATGACTGCAAGTGAGGGTAACCTCTGGAACTCTGAGGGTTGTGACGTTGAATAGAAATGTAAGTGTGTTTGTATGTGTGTCATTTTCCTTGGTTACACAAGATGATTCTATTCAATATTCATATCATTCAACCAGCTATGTACATGTATAAGCACGCATGTCAACAGTACCCGGTGTTTAATTTTGGCTGCATAACAAGTAATTTTATACGATTATTCAATTTAATTTAATCTCCGTAAACGAAATGCGGGGCTGTCTGGATGTCTGGATGTCCGTCTTGATGTCTGGATGGCTGTCGTCCGTTAAATATTGTCTGGGCAATGTCTTCTCCTAAACATGTGCACCTATTTCGACGAAACATCAGAGATATCATAACTACTCTCGATGTTGAACATCCAGGTATTATTATATTTCATTCTGATACTTTTTATGGAGTACTGGCCGCTTGTTGTAAAACTCCTCCAAAACTACTATGGCCAATTTCAGCGAAAATATACATATAAGATAACGACCCCCTGTCATGATTTAGTTTTGAATTAAATGTCAGTTAGTATTTAGATTTCAGATCCAGTATTTATGGGAGTAGCGGTATTAGTTAGGCTTTAGCTTACATTCCTAATTTATATGACAGCGGGGGTACTAGAAAGCCTTTACTTTACAGTTCTACTTCATATTGGAGTGGGGGTATTAGTTAGCCTTTACTTTACAGTTCTACTTCATATGGGAGCGGGGATATAAGTTAGCCTTTATTTTAAGTTCTAGCAAATATTGGGGTTTGGGTATTAGTTAGTCTTTAGCTCATAGTCCTAGTTTATATGGGAGTGGGGGTATTACTTAGCCTTTATTTTACAGTTCTAGCATATATTGGAGTGGGGGTATTAGTTAGTCTTTAGCTCACAGTTCTAGTTTATATTGGAGTAGTGGTATAAGTTAGCCTTTAGTTTACAGTTCTAGCATATATTGGAGTGGGGGTATTAGTAAGCCTTTAGCTCACAGTTCTAGTTTATATTGGAGTGGGGGTATTAGTTAGCCTTTAGCTTACAGTTCTAGTTTATATTGGAGTGGGGGTTTAATTAGTTAGCCTTTAGTTTACAGTTCTAGTTTATACAGGAGGGGAGTATAAGTTAGCATTTATTATACAGTTCTAGCATATATTGGAGTGGGGGTATTAGTTAGTATTTAAAAGACAGTTCTAGTTTATATGGGAGTAGGGGTATTAGTTAGCTTTTAGCTTACAGTTCTAGTTGATATGGGAGTGGGGGTATTGGTTAGCCTTTAGTTTACAGGTCTAGCATATATTGGAGTGGGGGTATTAGTTAGCCTTTAGCGTACAGTTCTGGTTTATATGGGAATGGTTGTTTTTTTTGTTAGCCTTTAGCTTACAGTTCTAGTTTATATTGGAGTGGGGGTACAAGTTAGCATTTAGTTTAAAGTTCTAGTTTATATGGGAGTGGGGGTATTAGTTAGTCTTTAGCTCACAGTCATAGTTTATATGGGAGTGGGGGTATAAGTTAGTCTTAAGCTTAAAGTTCTAGATTGTATTGGAGTGGGGTTTTTCGTTAGCGTTTAGCTTACAGTTCTAGTTTATATGGGAGTAGTGGTATAAATTAGCCTTTAGTTTACAGTTCTAGTTTATATGGGAGTGGGGGTATTACTCTTCCTTTATTTTACAGTTCTAGAATATATTGGAGTGGGGGTATTAGTTAGTATTTAGCATACAGCTTTAGTTTATATGGGAGAAGGGGTATAAGTTAGCCTTTAGTTTACAATTCTAGAATATATTGGGGTGGGGGTATTAGTTAGCATTTATTTAACAATTCTAGTTTATTTGGGAGTGGGGGTATTAGTTAGTCGTTAGGTCACAGTCATGGTTTATATGGGAGTTGGGGTATTAGTTAGCCTTTAGTTTACAATTCTAGAATATATTGGGGTAGGGGTATTAGTTAGCCGTTATTTAACAATTCTAGTTTATTTGGGAGTGGGGGTATTAGTTAGTCTTTAGCTCACAGTCATAGTTTATATTGGAGTGGGGGTATTAGTTAGCCATTAGCTTACAGTTCTAGTTTATATGGTAGTGGGGATATTAGCTAGTCTTTAGCTCACAGTCATAGTTTATATTGGAGTGGGGGTATTAGTTAGTCTTTAACTTACAGTTCTAGCATATACTGGAGTGGGGGTATTAGTTAGTCTTTAGTTCACAGTTCTAGTTTATATGGGAGTGGGGTATTAGTTAGTCTTTAACTTACAGTTCTAGCATATATTGGAGTGGGGGTATTAGTTAGCATTTAGTTTACAGTTCTAGCATATATGGGAGTGGGGGTATTAGTTAGCATTTAGTTTACAGTTTTAGCATATATGGGAGTGGGGGTATTAGTAAGCATTTAGTTTACAGTTCTAGTTTATATGGGAGCGGGGGTATTAGTTAGCATTTAGTTTACAGTTCTTACATATATGGGAGTGGGGGTATTAGTAAGCATTTAGTATACAGTTCTAGTTTAGATGGGAGTAGGGTTTTTCGTTAGCCTTTAGCTTACAGTTATAGTTAATATCGGAGTGAGGGTATTAGTTAGCCTTTCGTTTACAGTTCTAGTTTATATAGGAGTGGGGTATTATTTAGCCTTTAGTTTACAGTTCTAATTAATATGGGAGCGAGGGTATTAGTTAGCCTTTATTTAACAGTTCTAGTTTATATGGGAGTGAGGGTACTAGTTAGCCTTTATTTAACAGTTCTAGTTTATTTGGGAGTGGGGGTATTAGTTAGTCTTTAGTTTACAGTTCTACTTTATATGGGAGTGGGGGCTTTAGCTTACAGTTCTAGTTAATATGGGAGTGGGGGTATTTGTTAGCCTTTAGCTTACAGTTCTAATTAATATGGGAGTGAGGTTATTAGTTAGCATTTAGTTTACAGTTCTGATTTATATGGTAGTGGGGTATTAGTTAGCCGTTATGTTACAGTTCTAGCATATATGGGAGTGGGGGTATACCTTAGCCTTTATTTTACAGTTCTAGGTTATATTGGAGTAGGGGTATTAGTTAGCCTTTAGCTTACAGTTCTAATTAATATGGGAGTAAGGGTATTAGTTAGCCTTTAGATTACAGTTCTAGTTTATATGGTAGTGGAGGTATTAGTTAGCCTTTATGTTACAGTTCTAGCATATATGGGAGTGGGGGTATAAGTTAGCCTTTATTTTACAGTTCTAGGTTATATTGGAGTGGGGGTATTAATTAGCCTTTATTTTACAGTTTTAGTTGATATGGGAGTGGGGGTATTAGTCAGTCTTTACTTTACAGTTCTAGTTTATATAGGAGTGGGGATATTAGTTAGCCTTTAGTTTAAAGTTCTAGCATATATTGGAGTGGCGGTATTATTTATTCTTTAGCTCACATGTACAGTTCTAGTTTATATAGGAGTGGGGGTATTGGTTAGCCTATGGCTTACATTTCT